ATTTTATGGAAACTTAGCCATTGTGTTGTTGTAGAAGGCAAATTAGTGGTAGCAAGACTTAAATCTATTTAATTATTTAGTTTTTTGACTGGTTTGGACATCTGATTTAAGGATCATATTTTCTTTCTTTTTTATTGAAAAATAATTGATTAACCATATTCGTGTGGTACAGAGTTGAATATCAATACCTGTGGACAATGTTTGATGACCAAATCAGGATAATTAGCATGTTCTTCATTACAAAATGTAACCATTCCTTGTGTCTATTAACTAGTTTCTCACTAGTCCCTCCCCCTCCCCGTTTCCCACCTCTAGTAACCACGGCTCTGTTCTCTCCTTGTGAAAGTTCAACATATTATTGTATCTTTCTTTGCTTCTTCCCTCCTCTCTCTTTTTTTCTCTCATGTGGTATTTCTCTTTCTGTGCCTGGCTTATTTCACTTACCATAATTTTTCCCAAGCTCATCCATGTGGCTGCGAATGGCAGAATTTCATTCTCTTTTATGGCTGAGTAGTATTCCATTGTGTATATATACCACATTTTCTTTATACTGTCATCCATCGATGGACATTTCAGTTGGTTCTATATCTCAGCTATTGTAAATAGAGCTGCAATAAACATGGGAGTGCAGGTATCCCTTCAACATGATGATTTCCATTCCTTTGGGTATCTACCCAGCAGTGGGATTGCTGGATTATGTGGCTGTTCTATCTACAGTTGTTTGAGGAAACTCCATACTGTTTTCCATGATGGCTGTACTATTTACATTCATACCAACAGTGTATAAGGATCATATTTTCTTACGTGGCATCCACAATTGACTGTTTCTACTCTAGTATTTGATCTAGTATTTTTCATTTTCTCAAGTTCATCTTTGGATTTTTTTTCTTTCTGGGAAGAGTATGTTTAAAAGCCTCAACTGTTTTCATAGAAATGATAGCTCTTTCTTTTTCCAGCCATAACCTGCCCTCCACCACCTGTACTGAAGTCTGCAACATTTAGTGTTTATAACCCATCAGCTGGAAACAACTCTGTGTATCAGGACACAGCAGTCTTTGAATGTTTACTACAACATGCCATGTTTGGAAATAATACAATTGCCTGCACAGCACATGGAAATTGGACCAAATTGCCAGAATGCAGAGGTAGGTGCAATAAGACAAAATAATTATGGTAGTGTAGAAACCCAGATTTGAAAAGTATTGAAAATTCCAACTATTGTGGAGTGTTTCAGATCACCTCTGTCAACACATGTTTATTGAGCATCTACCGTGTGCCAGGGAGTGTGCTAGGTACTGGGGATACTAGATGAGTGAGACCTGGCTCCTGACCCAGGGGAATGATATACAATGCAATTAACTCTCCAGAGCTGCCTGGGAAATCTTCCCAGAGACGGTGACCCTTAGAATGGGCCTTGGAGGAGGAGTGAAGAATGAGGGGAAGACGTGCCACACACGGGCACAGTGGTTCAAAGTCAGGGAGGCATGAAAGGACAGGGTGTGTCCACAGATGGCTGAGTATTTCGGTGAGGCTGGCGAAGAGAAGCCTGGATTAAAATGGGGAATCCTGGGAGATTAAGATAAATACTAGATTGTAGTCGAGTGTTGTAAATCTTTACAATATTTACCTAAATTTAAGAACCACAGAAATATTTAATTTTTGTTTTTTAAATTATAAAATTCTTTTTCCTTTGACTTGACCTGTCATTACCGTCTTTGAATTTGTCAGCGTAACAGGTAGACAAATTATAGAGTTTATTATGGGCACAAAGAGTTATTTTAAGGACTGCTAACATCTCCAGTGATGGATATCACAGCTAGTTATTGAATGATTCAAAGCATAACTGATTTTTAGCATGGAGGAACTACAAAGAACAATAGTAACCAGCACCTTTTAGGCACTTACTCTGGGCCAGGCTCTGGTCTCCTGCTAGTGTTATGTGACTTAATTCTTCCAAGTTCTAAGCAATCGGTTCTTTGTTTTGTTTTGTTTTGTTTACCTAGATGTATCAACTGTTAACACATTGTGACATTTTCTCCCTCTGTTTCTCTATAGACAGATTTTTTTTCCCCCCTGAATTATCTGAAAATAAGTTGTATGCATCAAAACACTTACCCATAAATACTTCAGCATAAATGTACTAAGAACAAGGACCTTCCATATTATCACTGTACCCAAGCCATTTAACGTGTTTTGAGTTATTAACAACAATAATTTAAACAATTATAATACTATAAACAATTAATAATAATATCATGTGACATTTATTTCAGATGTAACTTTTTGCAGTGGACTCAGAAGTATCCCCTACACGTGTGTTTTGTTTTATGCAGGGTCTAATTAAGAATCACATCTATTTAGTTGTCATGTCTCTTTAGTTTTTCCTAATTAAGAATGATCCTCTGTGTCTTTTGTTGTCTTTCACTGACATTTTTGAAGAGTATAGGCCAGTTGTCTTGTAGAGTGTTTCATAATCTGAATTTGGTTGGTTATTTACTCATGCTTAGATTCAAGTGAAAAACTGTTATGAATACATTGCATCACATCAGGAGAGACATAGTGTCAGTTGGTCCATCCTTGGTCACACTTACTTTGATCCCTTGGTTAGGTGGGGTGTGCCAGATCACCTCTTGGTAAAGGCACCTCTTTTTCCTTGGGATTAGTAAGCAAACTGTCAGTGATACTTTGAGACCATGTGAATATCCACTCTCTAGCAATCATTTTAAAATCCATTAACAATCCTTGATTCTATCAATTATGATGTTGGTGGCTACAGAACAGTGACTTTCTAATTCTATCTTTCCTTCTACATTTATTAGGTGGCTTTCTTTTGTAGAGAAAAGCTATCCCTCCATCTACTATCTTCTTAGTATTATTATAGACTCATGGATTGTTTTTTATTCACTGTGTGGCAGAGCCAAAATTGAGCCAAGTGGTCTGACTCTGGAGTGTGTACTCTTAACTACCTCATTAAACAAGCTCCCAAGAACATTGTGCTCCTGGCTCCAGCCTTACTTTCTTGTACTGTGGTAGATAGAGATAAGGATTTGGATCCTACTCTTGAGGATCTTAAGGAGGCCAGGAAGCAGCACCATTTTTCTCTGTCATATTTCATGCTGGCTTCTTGCATAGTCTGAAGACAATAATAACAATTAGGCTTAGCATTTTCAAACCAAATAATAGCGTGCTAAATATGCATGGGGGTGCAGTCTTTGTGTTTTAATTTCATAGTTTGTTGGTTAAAAGATACAGACTTTTTTTTTCTTTCAAATTCATCATCTTAGGCTATGTGGAGATGAAATTTCCAGTCAATAATACCTTATGATTATATGTGAAAGCCCAAAGAACTTAATAGCGTGTCATTAATTTACCTTCAAAGTGTTTCCTTTTTAATATCTAGAGTTCCATGAGTATAAGAAAAAGTAACATGCCTTTTCATGACTACTGGACAACACTATATTTAGTCCTAATATGTCTTACCGAATTTTTAGAAGTAAAATGCCCATTCCCATCAAGACCAGACAATGGATTTGTGAACTATCCTGCAAAACAAGCCCTTCATTACAAGGATAAAGCTACATATGGTTGCCATGATGCATATGCCCTGGATGGTCCAGAAGAAGTAGAATGCACCAAACTGGGAAACTGGTCTGCAACACCAAGTTGCAAAGGTATGGAAATATGGGTGAGGTCCCACAAGGTCTCTGAACTTATCTAGTAAATCACCTTTACTTGCCATTTTCTGTTCCAATCATTTTTCCACTTGTTGCTCTGACTTCCTTCACAGCTATTGGCACGTGAAAGACTTTAGGACTCACATGTGCGTGGGGAAGCCTCATGCTTAGGAACCTTGCCTGATATTACACTGTATGAAATAAACAGATTCTTTGTAAACATTGATAATACGGTAAAAGATCATGTGGGCTTCCTATATTTGCTTTTAAGCCTTTACTTATGAGCATCCTGTTTTTTTTTTTTTTTTGCTCTGTCTAGTCAAGACTCTTTTCATTGCAAAAACAAACCACGCATTCAAGCTAATTCAAGAAAATGGGGGCTTATTGTAAAAAGGCGACAGGTTTTTATGGACATTGATGATGAGGAGGTGAAATACAACTGGTACTCCTGAGGACTAGAACTGAAAGTCAGGAACTATTGCTGCCCTTCCCATATCTCAGTGGCCTCTCCCATCTCTATGTGCACTGCTACAGTGCACTGCTACAGTGCGCCGCTTGGGAGCGCAGCGGCGCTCCCGCCGAGGGTTCGGATCCCACATACGGACCGGTTCCCGCTCACTGGCTGAGTGAGGTGCGGACGCAGCTCCGAGGGTTGCGATCCCGTTGCCGATCCCGTTGCCGGTCCCGGTCCGGTACGGGCGCGACACTGAGGGTTGAGATCCATTGCCGGACACGAAAAAAAAAGACAAAAAAAAAAAAAAAGACTTGAGTCTACATCAGGACCTCTCAGCTGAAGCATTTGTCACCAGCTGGCATCTTTTCCCTGAGACATAGGCTCCTTTTGAGTTAGGAGTCTATCCTTCATCCAGTCAGTGTCATACTTACGAAAAAGAACAACAACCTAGCATTATACCTGTGCTCGAGTTGCTGTGGGCTGGACAGTTTAAGCAGAAAGAAGAAATCTGGCCCAGCAGGCAAAGTTGTGAATGACGAGCATCTTAGGTTGGAGTCTCCTAGACTCAGAGCCTAAGACAGGGATTCAAGTCAGTTGATTCATTGAGTGTCTCGAGATAGAGAGTGAGACAGGTAAGACAGGATAGGGCGCTGGTTCTCAAACTTCACTGTGTGTCAGAATCTCCTGGAAGACTTGCTTANGTATGGGCGCGACACTGAGGGTTGCGATCCATTGCCGGACACGAAAAAAAAAAAGACAAAAGAAAAAAAAGACTTGAGTCTACATCAGGACCTCTCAGCTGAAGGATTTGTCACCAGCTGGCATCTTTTCCCTGAGACATAGGCTCCTTTTGAGTTAGGAGTCTATCCTTCATCCAGTCAGTGTCATACTTATGAAAAAGAACAACAACCTAGCATTATACCTGTGCTCGAGTTGCTGTGGGCTGGACAGTTTAAGCAGAAAGAGGAAGTTTGGCCCAGCAGGCAAAGTGGTGAATGACGAGCGTCTTAGGTTGGAGTCTCCTAGACTCAGAGCCTAAGACAGGGATTCAAGTCAGTTGATTCATTGAGTGTCTCAAGATAGAGAGTGAGACAGGTAAGACAGGATAGGGCACTGGTTCTCAAACTTCACTGTGTGTCAGAATCTCCTGGAAGACTTGCTTAAATACAGGTCTCTGGACTCCACCTCAGAGTTTCTAATTCAGTAGATCTGGGATGGGACCTGAGAATCTGCATTTCTACCAAGTTCCCAGGTGATGCTGATGCTGATCTAGGGGCTATGTTTTGAACAAGAATGTGGTCTCAGCTAGAGTCTAGCTTCAGCGTGATCCCCCTGGGAGCTCTGGAGCATGAATTCTCCATGAATTAAGAGTTAACCCACCAAGAGGCAAGAGGACCTGCTTTTTATGTCCCCTTGTCAGTCAGTCACTGGCTACTGGCTGCTCCCTTCTCTGACCCTGTGGATGGCAGTGGGGTTGGTTTGCATAACCCCGTAGAAGAGGTAGCTTCTCTAGACTGAAGGGAATACTTCAGAGAGAGGAGCATTTGTGAACTGTTATCAGCCAACACTCACAGTGGCTGGTTGATGGACACACCAGCTCAATAAATGGGATCTGAGTAGGGCCATGTAGGCTTACAGGAAATGGCAATATCCAGCAGAATTTCTTTTTCACTGAAGCCAAGAATCTGATGCTTCTGCTGTGACCTTATGTGTCTACTGCATGGGAAGAAAAGGCCATCTTGGAAGCCACGTGTAATGGTCCCATTAATAGAGAACTGCCATTAGCAATCATAGTGACATTACTCACTGTGCAGTCGTGGAATCTTCTTGTCTTGACCAATCTGTTTCAGGTGTTGTCTACTGGTTCAAACATTATATTTTCTTTCAGAAAGATTTACTGAACTTTTAAGTCTGACTACAATCTCTCTTTCAGCATCTTGTAAATTATCTGTTAAAAAAGCTACTGTCCTATACCAAGGGGAGAGAGTGCAGCTCCAGGAAAAATTTAAGAATGGAATGCTCCATGGTGACAAGGTTTCTTTCTTCTGCAAAAATAAGGAGAAGAAGTGTAGCTATACAGAGGAAGCCCAGTGCATAGACGGCACCATTGAAATACCCAAGTGCTTCAAGGGTAAGACTATGTCGGATCTTTCGGCTAGGACTTCCACCTGCCCCTCACCACAGTCAGCACTTTTGTTATATAATGACTACAGGAAGCAATATCAATTAGGCCACTGGGTTTTTTAAAAGGGGGGGACAGAGAGAAACAACCAGACGAAGCAATGAACTGCTTATAGCAATTCCACTCGCATAAACATCTTCCTTTCCAATTCTTTTCCTTAAAACTCAGGGTTGTGGTTTTATTCAATGAATCTTAAGGTGAATTATGCCATCATGTATAATTCCAAGTTAAGCTTAAATAATAATAATAATAATAAGTTGTATATTGAATAATAAAAGTATTTAGCACATCTTCATCCCAAATTATAAAGAACTCACCCCAAATTACAAGGCAACTCATAGAAATGGTAATTGGTCTATTGATCTTCTAACATTTTTTCCCCTTCAGCTTTCCTAGAGTTTGAAAAGTATCCATTAAAACAAAGTATTCGCTAGAGCAAAATATTCTAAGGAAGATGATATTATGTTTGTATGAGACAGAGAAATGTATAATGGACAGCATTTAGAGCTGCTAACCTCGTAAGGTTTCAGGTTTAGGATTCAAATATCTTCGTTGATAGGAAGAGGCCAAAGCTATTGTCCGCTCTGGGTTTAGAAATGCTCCAAAAACGTTGACAGGCCTCTCTCAGCAGCTGGGAGAAGACAGTTGGGAGTAAATGGAGCTAGGAAGAGATGTCTGAGAAGTAGACACCAGAGGGAGAGAAGGGAATGATAACTAATTAATAATAACCACGTCTTAGGGTTAGTTTGATTATTAGAAATATTATGCATGACATGGGGTCATGCATGCCAATGAAATTATCATGCCATTATTATAACTACAAGTAGTTAGAAATACACTGAATAAATGGTTATTGTTCAAAAGATAGCAGAGGCCTGGTGAGATGTTAAATACTGAAACTGAGAAAGTACAATAAGCCTAATACAAATCAGCAGAAAAAATATTAGAAGACGATAATTTTTTTTAAAAAAATCAGAGTTTTGTTGATGTATTTCTTCAGCCTGTTCTCCCTTACGGTCTTCAGACAGATGCAGCGCTGTTAGTGCATTGGAGAAAAAAATAAAGGGCTGGTACAGTTTTTTTCTTCTCATCTTGACTGTCAGCGTTATAAAGAACCTTTTATTTTCTCTCTTGGGAATGGTGCCTTATGATTTCCCTGATGTTTTCTCCCATCACTTAAACCTCGTGCTAAGTGGTTTCATTCATATAATTACATTTATTCCACACATTTGTAAAATGTATTTGAGTTGGCTTAGCTATTTAACAAATTTAAGAAATGATTGTTTCTCTTAGAATGTTTATCTTTTTCTCCCCCAACAGAACACAGTTCTTTTGCTTTCTGGAAAACTGATGCATCAGATGTAAAGCCATGCTAAGGTGGTTTTCAGATTCAAAATTAAATGCCATACCCGTATCTGTGTTTTTCCAAGGAATCTAATGGAGGTGAAAAAATAAAGTTACTGAACTTATTGCCTCCTTATGTTATCTGGTTAAGAAGCCCAAATATTTGTGGTTTTTTAAATTTATTTTTTAATTTTAATTTTTATTTATACATACTTATGGAGTAGAGTTGACTATCAGTATTTGTGTACAGTGTGTGATGATCAAATCAATATTATTAGCATGTTCATCATTACAGATCATAATTACTTTTTGTGTCCCTTCCCCAATTATTCCATATCCTCCCACCCCCTCCCCTTTCCTGCCTCTAGTAACTATAGGTCTGTTCTCTCCTTCTGCAAGTTCAATGTTTCATTATGGCCTTTATTTCTTTGTTTCTTAGCTCCCACTTATGAGTGAGGACATGCAAAGAAACCCACATATTTGGAACATTATCATTTCATGGCTATGAAATGGAAAATGTAAACAATTATCTGAGTAATCCAGTTCCCCTCTGCATAACCCTACTCTCAAGTGCTTTCCCTAAAACACTTGCAATGCAGTATTTTTCATAGAAAGATTCATAGACCCCCCCACATCAGTATTACCTGTTTACTTATTACAAAGAAAAAAGGCTGTGTCCCAGAATTTTTGAGGATGGCCCAGAAATCTACATTTATGACAAAGTTCCCAGATAACTCTCATGCATCCTCAAGTTTGAGAAGCATCACCATAAAGAAATAAGCATGGACTTCCAGGTCAATAGAACAAGATTTGAATCCTTGAAGTCAGGTTTACATAAAGCCAAAAAGTCTTGTCTTCCCCACTAAGATTCCATGACCCATCATGGACGTTGCTCTTTTGCATTTGTTCAGCTCCCCTGCCCTGTTCTCCTGTAGCACATGCTGGCCAGACTCACTCCAGGCTTCACCTGCTTTCTCTATGCCTGCACCTGAGCAGCTGAATGTTGCTGGGAAAAAGCAAAACTCACTCCCATGCCAATGGGTCCCCCTTGACATTCATGAACACAGACATGACATAGGCCCTCAGTTCTGCCCAGCAATCCCATCATGTTCCTCTAGTTTGTTCACTCCTCTGCTCTCCAAAGTGGCTATTTCTCTTTTCAGCCCTCCTCAAGCCAGCTTCCTTCTCCTCACACTCAGCAGATAACCTTGCTCCTCATTTCACTGAGAAAATAGAAAAGATCCTTTTTTATCTTTCCACTATCAAATGCATCATCCTGCCCGTATCTGTACCATGTGCTCTGCCTTATGTCTTGTTATGATGGATGAACTTTGAGATCTCATCCAAGGGACAAACCCTCTCAATGCACTGGGTCTCCTTTCTCCTACTTAAAGATTTTACTCCTCCAATGAATGCTCATCCATTTTTTTTTTCTTTCTATTGGAGAATTTCAATCAATATTCAAATATACGGTAATATCACCTATTTAAAAAAATCTTCCATTACTGCACATCTTTTTCCAGCTACTGCTCCAACTCTTTAGTCCCATTTTTACAAAAGTCCAGGAAGGAGTTATTTACCTTTGCCATCTGCACGATATACTACTCATTGCTGCTTTTAAAATCCGTGTTCCCTGTAGGTATCTCCTCACCTGTGCTTCTTTGTCAGGACTTTATCTGATTCCATATGGTGGGGACCGGATCTCTTCTCCAAGATGCCCTCTGCTCCTCCTCCTTTTATTGAAACCGTGGTGGCTCCTCTCCCTTCCAGGCTGCCATTTAAAAGCTCCGCATTCCCATTACTTGACCTTAAAAAATAATTTTACTTTTTCTTCCTCAGCCTTTTCCTTCCAGACTGTGTGTGTGTGTGTGTGTGTGTGTGTGTGTGTTGAAGGTGAAGTTCAAGAGGTTGTGGTGCTTCTCCTTTCTAAATCAAAAAGCCCTATTTAAGGATTCTGCTGAACAAAAGAGTCATCCACTCTGGGTTTCCTCCTCCCAAAGCACAAAGCTTCAGGACCACTGTTGTTTTTTTTAATCTGTCACATATTAATTTTAAAACAGGCCTCCCCCTTATCCCACCTAACAGCTTTAGAAATGGAAAAAGAGCAGTACAAAAATTAAAGCATATTCTCCTATCCTACAGATGATCAATGAATTTTCTCTGGAAAAGGGGAGAATATATTATCCCCCCTTTGGTTGCAAATGATTTCATAATTACTTTTATTGTTTTAAATTTAAATATACATATTAGAACTAATACACATATTCAATAAAGTTGCAGGATATAAAATCAGCACACAAAAATCAGTAGTTTCTATACACTAACAACAAACTATCTGAAAAAGAAATCAAGGAAACAATCCCATTCGCAATAGCTACCAAACAAAATTAAGAATAAGTTTAACCAAAGAGGTGAAAGGCCTATACACTGAACATTATAAAATATCAATTAAAAAATTGAATATGATGCAAATAAGTGAAAAGATATCTCATATTCATGGATTAGAACAATTAATATTGTTAAAATATTTGTATTACCCAAAGTGATCTACAGATTCAATGCAATCCCTATAAAAATTCCAATGACATGTTCACAGAAATTGAAAAAACAATCCTAAATTTGTATGGACCTGCAAAAAACCCCGAATAACCAAAACAATCTTGAGCAAAAAGAACAAAACTGGACACCAAGGTCAAGGGTTTGGATTTCCATATTGGCCAGCCACCAAAAACAAAACTGCAGACATAAACCATCTGACTTCAAAATATATGACAAAGGTACAGCAATCAAATCAACATGGTACTGGCATAAAAACAGACACATATACAAATGGAACAGAATAGAGAGCCTGGAAATAAACCCAACTATTTATAGTTAATTTTTCATAAAGGTGCCAAGAACACACAATGGGGTAAGGAAGTCTTCTCAATAAATGGTGTTAGGAAAACTGATACACACATGCAGAAGAATGAAATTAAGGATCTCACACCGTATACAATGATCAACTCAGAATGAATTAAAGACTTAAATGTGGACCTGAAACTACTAGAAGAGAACATGGGGGAAAGCTCTATGAAATTGGTCTGGGCAATGACTTTTTGGATATGAACCCAAAAGCACAGGCAACAAAGGCGAAAATAGACAAATGGAATTATATCGAACTAAAAAGTGTCTTCACAGACAAGAAAACAATTAATAGAGCAAAGAGAAACTAGGGAATGGGAGAAAATATTTGTAAATCTTATAAGGGGTTAATATCCAAAATATATAAGGAACTCAACAACTCAATAATAATAAAACAATCTGATTTTAAAATGGGCAAAGGATCTGAATAGACATTTCTCAAAAGAAGACATACAAATAAATGCTCAACAGGTATATGAAAAAATGCCCAAACATCACTAACAGAGGAATGCAAATTAAAATCACAATGAGATATCACCTCACACCTGTTAGAATGATTATTATCAAAAAGACAAAAGATAACATGTTTTGGTGAGGATACAGAGAAAATGAAATCAGTATGTTGAAGAGATACCTTCACTCCCGTGTTCATT